AAGGATAGCTGGCCAAACTGAGCGAGGCCGGCAGGGAGGCTGAGCTCGCGCCAGCAATGTTAGAAATGACAGCCGCAGCGGCCAGGCTGTTAAACTCGGCGACGCTGAGTCCGGGCCCGGAAATTCCGCCCGGCAGAACCGTCAAGGAGTCAGGGAAGAAGTCCTCGGCGGGCTGCAGTGGCTCGCTGACGGGCCCACCGGCCGCCCCAGCCCGAGTGAAGTGACGGCCAAGGCTGAGGGCAGAGCCGAGACCGGCAGTCGGCAACAGGCAGGCCTCGTTGATGAGGAGGCCGGGCGTGTGTGGCGGCGGAGGCGGCTTGAAGGAGGCGAGGGAGACATTCAGGCTGCCGAGGGCCGCGTTCGCATTGCCCGGCTGTGCCGCGATGCCTGCCGGCATGCCCGAGTTGGCGGGCGGCGCGAGGGCGAGCAAAATGGCGGCCGGCTGCTTGCCCACGCCCAGGGGGCTCATGGCAGTCAGGCCAGCCGGAGCCGACAAGCTGGGCACCGCGGAATAGATACAGGGGCCGGTGGTGTTAGAAATGCCGAGGAGTGGGGACAACTGATAGGAGGGAGACTGGAGAGGGCCGGGCGCCTTGGCCAGGCCGTCGGCCGGGTTGCTGGCGAGGCAAGTGAACAGGGGGAGAGAGAAGTTGCTGGTATTGAGGACGCTTGAGGTAGCCGAGGCGGCCGAGGCGGCCGAGGCATGCAAGTGGAAGAGGGCGGCGGGGCTGGAGGCGGCCGAGGACTGGCCAACGATGCTCGGCGATGGTGAACTCGAGTCGAGGATAATTCCTTTGGACAAAGAGACGACGGGCAAGGTGGCCTTGAGGGTGGCCGCCTCTTCGGCGCAGCTCAACAACACGCCCGGTTCCCCTCCGGCCATGATGGCGCCGTTCGTGGCCGTCGTCTGGAGCCGTTTCAAAGTCTCCTGCAGGCTGGTCATGCTACCTGGAGTCAGGTGGCCCAGCAACTGGAGCCATTCCTCCTCATTGATGTGAATTTTGGCGGGAGATGAAGACATTTTCACTTTCTGCCCGACAGAGTTCACATCACATTGTGCCATTTGAATGGGGAAACATTGGAGCGGTTATGCGTGGTTGCCGCACGAGGTTTGGCGCCACCGAGGCGGTGATGACAAAGAACGGGGCCGCCGCGGAGAATCAAGAGGCAGATAAGAGCCCAGAGCCTAGGGCCCAGAGCTCAGAGTGGGTCCAATTGTCGGTCGTACTGGTCGAGTAGACGCGCAGTCATTCAGGCTTTCCGGCGTGGCTCAGACAAGTGAAGCTCGCCTGAGCAGGGCCGAATACGACGGCTTTCTTGCCTGATCGATTCTGGCAGCCGGCAATCGATTGGAGCAAAGAGCAGTGTCCTGAGGTGACGGGAAGGAGGCTGTTGGTGGGGCGAGATAAAGAAGACGAGTTGGCGAGACTGCGTGACTAGTCCCGCCTAAAGTGACCGCGCGACGAATCAGCAGGACAAATAATCTGATAACCAATCAGACGGCGACATGGCATTTGGGCCAATCAGCCAATCAGGGGGCGATTATTCCGCGGCCTGCGTGGGCTATTATACGTCGCCGCCTATCAGGCCACCTGACAGGCTGACTGTTGGCTGGCTGACGCGCAACAATAGACCTGGATCGATGATCGATTAACAGACATGCCTACTACGCCCCTCAGTCATCCGAGCCAGCTTCATTCATCTTTTGTTCAACTTTTTGCTTAGGCTTACCCCCTACATACGCACTCTGCCTCTTCCAAAAGCGACAGCAAAGCACGGTTGGACGGACGGAGGGAGAGACGACCGGACCGACAGGTAGATCAATACACGGACATGTAGATAGACACAGAAACAGAGTGAATGAGAGCCTATGTGAAAAGTGAAATGAGAGAGAAACCAAGACGGCGCAGTAGCCCAGTGGAAAAAGCATGCAGACGAGCTTGCGCGCTTACGTCGACTTCCTGGCCTTAGCACCACAGACTTTTGTTCTGCTCTCGCAATTGCACGCAGCAGAACCGCGGGCAGGCGGGCAGGCGGGCAGACAAGCGGGCCGGAGTCGACTGCGCGCATGCCCTCAAATGCACAAGAATGCATTCGCAGACAAACAACTTGGCTCGCTTTCCTCCATCATTTTCCAACTTAAATGACGAGCAAGGCAACTCCGGACGGACTAGGTGGCCTTGTCGCTCACCTAAATTGTCGATTGCTGACAAGCCTTCAATTCTGACTCTCACCTAGCCGCCTCCTCGTCACTCCTTTCATCTGGCCTTAAGTTTCTCGCCTTGAGTGCGCGCGCTCTGCCAACCAGGGAGACGAAGTCTAAGACGACATAACACACAACGTAACCGGATAGGGCTAAACTGCTGTGCAGCCTAACTCTTTGCCATAACAGGGTGCCGCCAGACATGCCGACACTGCTCAACTAGTAGACGAGTTTAGCGCCGAGAAGTGACCACGACAGGCAGATAGTTCGTCCGGCAGTTCCACCACGGTCCCGGCTTGCATCTCAACCCAATTTCCCTTCATAATTCAAACGTGAAGGCCTTCAGTCAGCCAGGCTAGGCAGCATTCTAAACACAAAAAGCTATCTCGCTTATCTGGCATTGAGGTCATCATTTAATAATAGTAGCAACAATAATACAGAGATAGGAGGGCAGTACGGATGATATCGATCTTAGCTCTAATAAGAGTTAGGGGATGAGTCATATAAGTGTTTTTTGGCTCCCATTAAAGGACAAAGAAGATCATATCAAATTCCGATGTGAGGATAAGCCCAACAGGAGTGTCACGATTTCGCCTGATCAGACGGTTGGCTATGTGAAATGACGGTATTTAGGATCCGCGGTCTGGTTGATCGCGCTCGTCGCAAGTACGGGTTACTGCACTTTATATAAACTGATTGAACAGGCCCTTCAGCCGCCGCATTGCTTCCTGCCCTAAAGAGGGAAGTGTTACTATGCCGTTCGGCTGATTCTAGAGAATTGGTGGAATAGCTTCGTACACTTGGCCTCACCGTGGACTGATGAGGTCGCACTTAACTCTAATTATGGTTATCTACAATTTAGGTGTAGGCACGATTGTTTTGCCGTTTGGCAATACGGCAGTGAAATATTCTTTTTCGTTTGTAGGTAAGTTTTCGAGACTAGAAAGAAAGGTCGTATTTACCCTATACCGTTTAGGATTTTGAGGGACTGGTAGTTGAATTTTCCCACATTGTTATGAGTTGCCCTCATGTTTCCATCTAATTTCACATAGTTTTGCTTCCCAGAAGTTATTATTATCAAAAGTTGATCTTAAACGAAATAAGATCAATTAAGTTCTTGTTCGAGATCTGCTAATAGTCTCGAAAGCTACTTTTAAACGAGAATAATTAATGCAATTGATTAAAATAGCAAATACAACTTTGCTTTTGGGAAGCAAGGCTGTGTGG